GCGGCGACAGCTGAGATGTCGCTTCCGCTTTCCCAGCCCACGGGGGAGCCGCCTTTCCCAAAGGCTTTTCTATTTCTGGCGGCCCCGCCATGAGGTTCCCATTCAGCCCCTCCCCGGGGCGACGGCCTCGGCGGGGGCACGGTCCCTCAGCAGGGGCCGCGGGGAGCGGAACGGGCCGTGCTGCCGCCCACGCTGGGAAAGCAGCCCCGCGCTGGGCAGCCCCCCGAGAGAGGGAAGGGACGGGGGCTGCCCGGCTCCCTCCACCCTACAGATCCCGCTGTCCCCGCGCCGCCCAGGTCCTGCTCCCTGCCCGACCTCCCAGCCGGTGCAGGCGGAGCCCCACCTCCTCGCGCCTCCCACGCGGGTGCGGACCAGGCGGGGCCGGCCGGGGTGGGATGGTGATCTCCCAGGTGGCATGGCCGGCAGGCAGCGGTGCCGGGATGCTTGGCACGGGAGCGGGGCCGGCAGCGGGCCAGGGCGCAGGGCTCTGCTCTGCACTTGTTTGTGCATGATGAAATCTCACTGGCAGCAGCGGGGACCCGTTCCCTCCTCCCCAGACCCGGGCAGCAGCGAAACCATCACCCCACCACAAGCAGCCATGGCAGGCAGGAGGGTCCCGGGGCTGGGCATCCCGGCCGGCATTGCCTGCACCCCGCTTCCCCGGGGATTTTCCCTTGTAGGAACGTGCTCATGGGGAGGAAGCAGGGAAAGGTCGGAGAGCCGCGTCTGGAAAACATTTCCCCGAGCTGAGTGATTGCTGGAGAGTTTCCCTTTAACCACGTCGTTAATCTTGTTGCTTCACAGGGCTCGGGGAGGCCTTTTCTCCCTCTCGATCTTGCTTTTTTTTTTTTTTTTTTTAAATAAACATATCTCCCAGCCCAAGGGCAGTACATACCCGTGGAAAAGGTCAGGCTGGCACAGGGAGGGCTGAGCGCAACCGGAGAAGGAGCCCTGGCTCTCAGCCCCAACCCCGGCAGCTCCCTGGGAGCAGCTGGGGCTGGAGGGGGGCACAGCGTCCCTGGCCATGGGTGGCACAGGGGATCCAAGTGAGACAGGCTCTGTGCACAGGGCAGGGAAACCAGGATCATCGCCCCTTCATCCCACGGGTGGTGAGGTGAGCCGGGCTCGCCTGGGCTTGGAGGGGTCCCACCAGCCTTGTTCCTCACCAAGAAGGGCAGAGTGGCTGGGGGGGGGGGGCCGTGGGGCTGCGGGTGACCCCAAAATGCTGCCCTGGGGCAGGAGGAACCCCGGTCACTCTGCCATCCCAGTGCTGGGGACCCGTTGCCCATGGCTGGATGGTCCTGTGCCACCTTCTTGCAGCTGTATCCCTCCCCTGTCCCCGTCCCCATCCTGCCCCGGCATTTCTAAGCATCCCACAAGCACAAGCTGGGGGGGCCCCAGGGCCAGAGGTGGGGGGGGAAGCCAGCACCAGCCCCTGTGCCACAGGCGCCCCAGAGCTGCCAACCTGCCACTGCCCCGCTGGGGACCCTGTCCCGCCCCTAGCCTCCCCCCCCCGGCGCGCTGGTCCCACCACCCA